CGTGGCAAGGTATAGATTAATAGAAATGGATTAATTTAAGCTATAAGAACAGTTAGCAAGAAGCCTGGCACGGCCTTACAGTTTGTAAGCAATATAAGTCTCTGTGTTTACTTGGTCGGGTCTGAGCGACTGCGGGACTGGCAGGTGAGAGAGATTTGTCCTGACTGTGGGCCAGGCAGGAAAACTCAAGCTACACCTGGTTTCCTGTAGTTCAGCTAGCAAGGAGTTATTAAGTTCCAGTTCATGTCAGATACTTTGAATATTGTTTCTAAGTACAAGCTTCTTAATTCAAGGTTTTATGTGTTTAATTATGTATGTGTAAAGTGCCATTTTACATACCTCTTGGGTCTAGCCTAGCTAGGAAATATTAAATACAAGAGTATAGAGAATATATCATGGGATAAGATTTAACTCTTTAAGGTGTAAATTCTTTATCCTGGTAGGGACCATAAGAGAACTGTTCTATTAAATATGGAAATAACTCGGGTAGAAATGAACTCCATTATGGGTATGGTGTACTATTCCTTTAATCTCAGCACTAAGGAGGTAGAGGTAGGCAGATTTCTTGAGTTTGAGGCCAGACTGGTCTACATAGCAAGTTTCAGGACATCCAAGGCTATATATAGAGAGGACCCTGTCCCAAATAAATTATCCAAAAGGACCTGAGCAGTCATAAAGTGATTATTAGAGGCAGTATGTTATAGCAGAAAATGTGGTACTAGACCAAGGCAAAATTTCCAGACTTGACATTAAGACTGTTCTTCCCCAGAGCTTCCCTTCTTCACCTATAAAATAAGGTCACCTATAGGTATTCACTACCAGTGTTTCCAAATTACAGATAATGCTGTGTTTAAGTAATAGCATTTGCACGCTAATGCAGCTATAACCAGATAGATGATTGTGTTCATAAGAGAAGTGCTAAAGGTTTTAGCAAATTGGGAGCCAGCTGACCAACAAGAGGAAGCTCCTTTTACAGTTTCCATGTCCCTCAGGTAGCATTTTCCTGGAGATACTCAGTGCCCTAGTAAGTATGCACTTCAAAGAGGAGGAGCATAGTTTTCTCCTAATTAAGTAGTTCCATCTTGGTTTAATTAGCCTCTAAGAGTCCACACTAAGATTGTGTTTGGAGTAAGGTTTGATAGTTTAGTGGATGCGGTCTAGAAAGAAGCTTCCAGATTAGATTCCATTTTCACCATTCTGTCTATCTACCTTTCTTCTCTGAGTTTGTAGTTTTATTTTTATAGACATCACATATAGTGAGAACATCACTGACATTTCTGGGGAACTTTAGAACAGGCTGAAGAAGTACCAATAAACTCACTCAGAAATGATATCTGAGATTTCCAGGTAATAGGAACCAGCATGAAGGGCTCATTGCTTTTGAGAACTGTGGTTTTTAGCAGGATAGAGTTCTGATGACAAGGTGAGGTAACTGGAAGGAAGTTTAGAAAGCAGGAGTCCTTGTCCAGAACACCCATCCTTCTGCATGCCCTCTCCCAGGAGACTGTTCCTTAGGCTCTGGAGTAAAGTGAATGTATCCATCTGTTAATTAGTATAGATGGAAATAGGAAGGTATAAAGGTTTGATAGATTATTCTGCCTCCACTCTTTGTTTTTGCTTTCTTTACATAGGATGAAGTGTCTTGTTGAAAAACTATGTAAAGCAATAGGAAATAAGGAATTTAATCATTAAAACTTAGGATTAATTTGCCTTTTTTTTTTTTTGGTGTTTTGAGACAGGGTTTCTCTGTGTAGCTTTGCGCCTGTCCTGGAACTCACTCTGTAGCCCAGGCTGGCCTCGAACTCACAGAGATCCATCTGCCTCTGCCTCCCGAGTGCTGGGATTAAAGGCAAGTGCCACAACCGCCCGACTTAATTTGCCTTTTCTCTGATCCAGTTTCCCTGATTGTGATGATAGCTTCCTAACTTTCAGCCACATGTGTATATGACGTCTAGTCAAGTAGATTGCAGTTAGTGTCTATCATAATTGTCATTTTCAGTCACTTAAAGCCATTGAAAATATTTAGTGAGAATATCAGACCAGAAATGACCATCATAGAAGCACTGACATGCATACATTAAAATAGAAATATAAAAAAACTTATGTAAGCGCAAAGCCTACCCAATCTGATAAACTCATTAACTCATTGAACATTTCCCATCCTCTTTCCAGGGAGAGCACCTACAGGGACGACTTGAATTCTGGAGGGCTTAGATCACTTAGCCAGTTGATGTGGCGTGCAGGCATTCTTTTGCCTTGGCATCCTTATGGCATTGTTAAAAGAGGCACTTAAGACCTTGTCAGTCCTCATTCAGTTTGTAATAGGCTAATTAAAGATGGCCTCATTTCCTTCCCCTACTTTCAGTCTTTCTATTCCTCAGTTTTCTTTCTTACATTTTTCCAGTGACTTCTATGAAAAGAGTCTCAGGCTGAGGAGAAAAAAAAAAAGACTAAAAAGTTTCTTCCTCTCCTATGTTTACTTCTGTGTCTGTTTCATTACCTATAAAAGAAGTTCACTTAGGCGACAACTACTTGTTCTTCTTCCCACATTCTTTCCTGATGGTCTTTTTTCCTGTTTCCTTTAGTTCTACTTCTTCAGTGTGTGTGTGTGTGTGTGTGTGTGTGTGTGTGTGTGTGTGTGTGTGTGTGTGTGTTATATGTGTATGTGCATATGATGTGTTCTCTATGTATGTACAGAGATTGGTGTGCAGTGTCTCTAATAATTGCTCATCATCTTTTAAAATTTAATTTTTCATGTATATTGTGTATGATGTGCATATATGTGTATCTGCATGTTTGCACGTGTGTACATGTATGTGTGAATGCATATGGAGGCCCAAAGTTGACATGAGAAGTCTTTCTTAGTCTTATTCCCCTTTATTCATTTGGACATGGTCTCTCAGTTGAACTTGGAGCTTTCAGACACAGTTAGTCTAATTAAGTTAGTATCCACCTTCTAAGCTTTATGATTGCAGGTGGGCTACTCTGCCTACGTGGTATTTACATGGGGTCTGGGGATTTGAACTCTGGTCCTCACACCTGCAGGACAAGCACTTTAATCACTGAGCCATCTCTCCAGCCCTACCTTACTTTGAAGACAAGAGTTCTCGCTGACATTGGAGCTCATTCTTTCTCTTAGACTGACTAACTAGTGAGCTCCAGGATCTGTCTGTCTTCCCTGTGCCACCTCTGCTCCTGTCCCTGCTCCTGCCCCTGCCCCTCGGCCAGCACTGGGGTTGCCAGTGTATACACTGTACCCACTTCCATGTGAGTGCTAATGATAGGAACCTGGGCTCTCCTGCTTGCACAACAAGCACTTTAACAAATGAACCAGCTCCCTGCCCCCTTCCCTGTTTCTTACCTCAGGTACACATACTATGGATGGTTGTTTAAAAACACCCATGAAACTGGGGATGCAGCTCAGTGGTAGAGCGCTTGTCCTGTATGTGTCAGGCTCTTGGTTTGATCCCCAGCACTGCAAAAAACAGTAAAGCAAAATAAGAAAATACAGTTTTTTGAAAAACTTATTTTATTTTCATAGGTTTTCATTTTGTTTGCCCTTCTTATTTCTTAGCCAAACACACCATCAGCAGCATGTGTGTTTGTTTGTGTGTGTGTGTGTGTGTGTGTGTGTGTTCAGTTTATGGTTGTAGTAAAATAAGACAGTAACATTTTTGCCTACTATATTAAAAAATGTAAAAGTTTGATATTACCCCGTATTGATAAGATTGTAGAGAAGTGCTTCCTTTCACACATTGTTGTATAATTGCTCCATCCTTTTCAGAGAGCAGTTTGGCACCATCACAATAACTTTAGCATATGTATGAAATGGCTTAGTGACTTGAGAGATTTCTGAAGACACTCACGTAAATATTAAGAGTTATTCCTCAGATATTCATTGTTATGTTGTCTGTAATAGCAAAAATTTAGAAATAGCACATTTCTGTGATAAGAGGGATAAATGGGATATATCTTTATATCCTGCAAGTGGTAAAAAGTAATACAAAAGATGAAGGTGCTGTCTGTATTTCACTAACATTTTAAGTGGAAAAGCAAGACATAGAACCATATGTTCACTGTAATCCATAGAAACTTTACCCAGTTTTAGGTATGTGTGAGTAACCATATAGAGAAATAGAACACCTACTGAACTGGTAGTTTCTTTGAGTTTTGTTATTGTTGCTGTTGTTATGTTTTGACTTTTCAAGGCAGTCTTACTACACTCACCAACATGACCTCAAAACCTTGATCCTCCTTCCTACCTCTGCTTTCTAGGTGCTGAGGTTCCAGGCATGTACCACTATTCCTGGTTCAGACTTCTTCCTACCTCTGCTTTCTAGGTGCTGAGGTTTCAGGCATGTACCGCTATTCCTGGTTCAGACTTCTTCCTACCTCTGCTTTCTAGGTGCTGAGGTTTCAGGCATGTACCGCTATTCCTGGTTCAGACTTCTTCCTACCTCTGCTTTCTAGGTGCTGAGGTTTCAGGCATGTACCACTATTCCTGGTTCAGACTTCTTCCTCTTCCTCCTCCCCTTTTTTGTTTGTTTTTGAGACAGAGTCCTCTATAGCTCAGCTGTCCTGGAACTCACTGGTAGTTTGTGCTGACTTTGAACTCTTGATATTCCTCTGCCTCAGTCTCTGGCATGCTAGGAGTAGAGGCATGAACTGCCATATCTGGCTAGAAATTGTACTTTTTATTTTATGTATTCTTCTATTACAATTTTTTAAAGTAGTTATATATTACTGGTATGTAAATAAATAAAACCCAAAGCAAGAAAAAAAAGATAAGGAATTAGTTCCTGAACAATAAAAACAGTTACCAGGACATTTATCGAAGGTGTTGGAAGAATATTATTGAGAGCATATTGCTAAGATTTCAAAATGAGATAGCAACAATAATCTGTATTTTGAGCAGGACTACCTTGCACTATTAAAAAACTCTACCTTTCCATTTCATTGCTGTGTTCAATCTACACTTCTTACGTGTCTGTGTTCTACAGGTAACTCGAGACCAGATGAAGGTATTTATACAGCAAGAATTTAAGAAAGTTCAGAAAGTGATTGCTGATGAGGAGCAGAAGGCCCTTCACTTAGTGGACATCCAAGAAGCAATGGCCACAGCTCATGTGACTGAGATACTGGCGGACATCCAATCTCACATGGATAGATTGATGACTCAGATGGCCCAGGCCAAGGAACAACTTGATACCTCTAATGAATCAGCTGAGCCAAAGGCAGAGGTAAATGAAAATGTTGGTGATTTTTAGCAGGAAAACTATTAGGAACCTGACTGTCATATTCGTTGGCTATGAAAATACCTGCTTGTGATCTCTAAACATAATGAACTGAAAAGTTGGGGAGGATTTCAACTAGTATGGACTGGAGAGTGCAGGTATTGGCTACTAGGGTCTATACCTGGCTTTTTGTCCTAGCAAAGTATTATCCAACATAATTTAAAGGATTGTAGTCAATGGGGCAGATACTAATCATAGTTAAGACGAGAAGCCGAAAATCTAAACTAGAGAAGAGAGCAAGTGACAGACATAACCCATCTCAAGCCGTGAAATGAATATAGAAATGATAAAGGTTATTTTAGACTTGAGAACAGGACTGAATTAGAGTGAGTCAGGTAAAGCCTAAAATAGTACAGAGTGAAAAATTGTGGATTTAATTTTGTGACTAGCAAAGGGGTGTGGTGATATATTGTGTACCCTACTAAACTTGCCTGAGGATCAGAGGACAGAGCCAGCCACTAGTTCTTACCTCTACAAAATCCTCAGCCTAAAGAGAGTGAGTTCTTGTTTCCTCATGCCTTATATACTTTTCTCTGCCCTGCCATATTACTTCCTGGGTTTAAAGGCGTGTGTGCTTCCCAAGCAAAGGCATGAGACCTCAAATGCTGGGATTAAAGGTGTGTGCCACCACTGCCTGACCTCTATATCTAATCTAGTGACTGACTCTGTCCTCTGATCCTCAGGCAAATTTATTAGCATACACAATGTATCACCACAAAGGGGTGCTTCCCGTTGGGTATTTTATGGATCCATCTGTATAATTGAAGGTATATTTGCTGGATTAAGAGCAGCACATGGGGCTGTGAATTGTGGCACAGCTACTTGGGAGGATGAGAAGGGAGGATCACTTCAGCCGGTATAGTGAGACCCCATTTCAAAAAGAAAACCAAAATTCTTAAGAAAATAACAAATCAAAAAGTAGAGCATATTATGAAAAAAAAAAGAATAACATGAACAAAAGACACAAGATAAATGTGAATCAGTATTACTTAACTATATGCATTTCATAACAGGATAAAGTGTTGGGATATTTCAAACAACATATTTGGACATTTCCAATTGTGTGTTTATATGTGTGTGTGTGTGTGTGTGTGTACACACATACACATATACATATATATATCACAACAAGCTAAGCATGTTGGTAACTAGCTTTAATTTCAGCACTTAGGAGGCAGAAGCAGGCAGAGCTCTGAGTTGGAGGCCAGCCTTGGACTACACAGCTAATTCTAAGAAGCCAACCAGGAATATATAGACCCTGTCTAAAACATGGGAGAGGAAGATCTGGAAAGATGGTTCAGCAGTTAAGATAACTTACTGCTCTTGCTGGGGACCCAGGTTTGGTTCCTAGCATCTGCATAGTGGCTTACAACTGTCTGTAACTCTAGTTGCAGAGATCCAAAGTTTCCTCTGTAAGCACATGTTGCATAGACGTACACTCAGGCACATACACATAAGGAAGGAAGGGAGAGAGGGAGGGAAGGAGAAAAAGAGGGATCGACGATAGATAGGAAAGTAGGAAGGAAGGTAGGTAGGTAGGTAAGTCAGCCAAGGCAACCATTTGTAAAAAAACACAAAACATCTATTTCAGAGAGAGGCTAGTGTTCAATAGGACTTCATAATGATAAGTAAAACTTCTGGTCAGACACATGCTAGGTAGGGTGAGGTAGTTTGTTCTATAAGAAAACGTGAGACAGTCCTGCGGACTTTCCATAACTGCTGTTGAATTAGTGAGTTCAGCATTAACTGGCAGTCTTACCCAGGCCAAGGAATATACTGGCCAGTGAAGGAGTCAGGGTATAATACCAGACTCAGGCCTTGTCCACGTCAGTCCAACAGGAATATGAGATACCATTCTACCCATCCAAGACTCTTGATGAGTTTTCATTTGTGTGTGGAAAGAATAGATGTTGTTCTTTTCATGTCAGCCTTCCTAAAATTAGCAAAGTGTGTGTCTGAGTTTCTAGATATACAAGAGAATACTTTATAGTTATCATTTTATTTAACTCTAAGGTCTGTGTTCATCAGCCCCATCTATAGATGCTATGTTGAGAATCAAAGAACTACAGAAACACAAACCCAGTGTCATTTAGGTAGTAGAATGGAACCAGAATTTAGAATTAAATTTGTCTTATTCTACTGCCTGCTTTCCCTTTTCTATGTGTTGTATGCTAAGTATCCTGTTTATAATGGGAGAAATCAGGAAAATTCACTTAAAGTATTTTAAGGTGAGCTAGTCATTTTGACTGGAAGGGTCAGAAGCAATAACTGTCTCAGATTCCCTTCAAATTGAGACCCTGTGTTAAGTTATACTTTCAAAAAGAAAGCTTTCATTTGTGACTAGTTCCCTCTCTTTTATTATTATTCTAAATAATGAATTCAGTTTCTCCCTAACATTAACTCTTCTTTAAATACTTCAGCTTAGAGAATTACTCTTAGGATTCAAGAGCTGACAAAGCTTAGACTGACTAGGCTGGGGACATGATGAAGCTATAAGAATAAGAAGCAGCATTCTGTTAGGTAGAGCATTTCCAAAGAGCTGTGTCATTAATAGCATCTCATTCCAATTAATTTGGTAATTTATTAGTTAGAGCAAATATCCAATACCTCTCACTCCACAGAGGAACTCTCTTGTTTCCTTTATATAATACAGAATTAGAAGAAAAATCACCTGTATTTGGAATTTAGTCAAAGGTTTCCTTTTCAATATTTTTATAAATATCAAGCAAACATACAGCAAAATTGGAAGGATTTTCTGGATTACACCCTTATAACCTATCACTTAAGTTCTAATTCATTTACATTTCCCTTATTGCTTATCTATATTTCTAGTCATCTTTCCAACTTTCCACTTATCAATCTATTTTATTTTTAATGCTAAAAACAGAATGTCGGGTCTGGTGATGCATCTTGGTAAAGCATTTGCCTAGCATTCTTGAAGCCCTTAATTTGATTCTAGCACCATATAAAACTGATGTGTTGGGGCACACAGTATTCAGGAAGTGGAGACAGGATTAGAAGCTCAAGGTCATCCTTGGCCACATAAGAAGTTTGAAACCAGTCTGGGATACGTAAGAGCCTATCTAACAAAACAAAGCAAAGAAACAGAACTGAGCTTCTAGTTCTTCAGTGGAGTCATGATCATGTTTCATTTTACTCCTTTCTCTAATCCCTGAATGAAAGTCACTTAACAGAGGGGAAAAGATTCAGTACTGTAGTGTAGTGGGTAGCCATTCCAGCTTTGATCTGGAAGTTCCAATCCAGCAACTGTCACGCCTATAAGGCGGGGCCAAGGGAGGCGCAAGAGACCTGAGATCTGGATGGGCCAGCGCTCTGCTCTCTCTGTTCCTGGACCGTGGACGGTGGAGGTGGACCAAGCAGAGCTCCGGAGAACACCGCTGGACTGTGATACACCTTCCCCAGACCCCGCGACCTACCTATCCCTTTATTTGTAAGTTACCCACTAAATAAATCTTCCTTTTAACTACGTGGAGTGGCCTTAATAATTTCGCCAATATCTGGCGCTCACGTGGGGCAAATTCCAAAGGCCTGGGTGGCTCCCACCCTCAGCCTCCTCCCCGACTGGTGGGTACCTAAACCCGCCTGCAAAGTTCCATATAACCAGGGAACGCCTACATGGTTCCATTCCTGAAAAAGGGAGCAGCTAGTCTGGTCTCAGTTCCCTAGCTTAGCCCCAAGACCAGCAAGGTCTTGTTAATAAAAACAAACCTGGAACCAGGTGTTGGGTTAAAGCTGGAAGATCAGAGTGACAGAACAGGCCACAGCTACCTCACCTTGCCAGTTCCTCAGCTGATCCTGTTTCCTCAGACTGGAAGTCTATGTGCCCTCATCTGAATGGGTCTCAGCTGAACTGTTGCTAAAAGCCTTAAAGCTTAACCAGGCTAGTTCCTGGTTTTCACACCTTTTATACCTTTCTGCTTCCTGCCATCACTTCCTGGGATTAAAGGCGTGAGTCACCATGCCTGGCTGTTTCCAGTATGGCCTTGAACTCACAGAGATCCAGACAGATCTCTGCCTCTGGAATGCTAGGATTAAAGGCGTGTGTGCCACCGTTTTCTGGCCTCTATATCTAGTGGCTGTTCTATTCTCTGACCCCAGATAAGTTTATTAGGATACACAATATATTGGGGAACACAATATCACCACACATTACTACCTGAGAACTTTGGACTTAAAGACCTACAAGGCAGAGTGTTACCAAGGTTCCTATCCTTCCTGTATTTTCTAGCTTGGGTGTTCCACAAACTGGAAACACTAACAGACACAGACAGAAAGGGAATTCCCAAGAAAAATCTGCTTTCTGTAACCAAAGAACTTGGAAAAGTGTTATCCAGTTCTAGAGAAATCTTTTGATCATACCTGCCTGTTCTAGAGTGAATACATAAAGAAAGCTCACTGCTCATCAGCCCCAATTGGCACTATTGCAGTGGAGCTGGTAGGCTGAATATCTAAAATCTATGTTCCCCTACAGTAACAAGTTATCTTTTTTCTTTGATATAATTTATTTATTTATATTTTATGTGCATTGGTGTTTTGCCTGCATGTATTTCTGTACCAGGGTGCTGGATTCCCTGGAACTGGAGTTACAGACAGTTGTGAGTTGTGTGGGTACTGGGAATTGAACCCAGGTCCTCTAGAAGAGCAGCCAGCCCTCTTAACCACAGAGCCATCTCTCCAGTCCCCACAAGTTATCTTTATTTCTCCATGGAACTTTTAGGCAAAACCTTATTTTCTCCTTATGCCCTTTCTCCTCTCAGTAGTAAGGCTCATTTGACATGCACCTGTAGGTGGAACTCTAACATTACTCCTGACTGCTTTTTCAATGAGGAAGTACTAATAGCCTTCCCTGTGGAGACTTTGCAGAGCTCTATTTCCTCTTACCCTATGTTAACAAGCCACTGCTCCTCCACTCCAGGATCAGTGGA